AAGGTCGTTCCAGAAAAGTGAGAACATATGTGTATTAACAAAAAGTATGTGAAATGCAAATGGCAAATATATATCAGACCAAGTACACCCACAGAGTAAAAGGAGCAGGAATAAGTCTGAACAGATAGGTGAAACATGGAACATGAGGACAAAGGTTCAAATGGAGGGAGTGGATGGCAATGAAGAACAATATTGACATTACAATCTGGAAGAAATGCACATCAAGGAGGTCTATGAAGCTAGAAGAAATGCAAAAGGTACTGGTTGGTCCAGTCCTCACTGAAAACATCCACTGCCTGGGCCCGAGGATGAGGAACCAGAAACCAAAACAAAAGAAGTAACTTGGTGTTTGAGTAAAGTGACAAAAGCATCTAGATGAGGAGTACCCCACTGATTGCATATCCACCTGAAAACCTAAGAGTCCAGAGACCACTCCGTGGGATAAACCAGGTCACAATTATCTGCCACATGGTGTAAAGCACCCAGAACATGACACGCAAGGAGACTTATCCACAGTATGTGGGTCTAATAAAGGAGTTCAACCACAAAGGGAACAGGAGCAAGTGCCCCTTAATGATTGATATAGGCCACAATGGTGGTATTGTCAGAATGGAGCATGATGTGTCAGTTCAGTACCAGAGGAAGAAAATGAACCAAAGAAAATTGTACTGCCAGAAGCTCCTAAATGTTGGTAAAGTGAGACATTTCAATCTGAAACCATTGTCTGGTAGACTCCTCCTGATGAATCCAAGCTCCCCCACCTTGGAGAGAAACATTTGTGAGCAGATGCCAATCCAGATGAGGTTGAAGATGTGGTACTTCTGTCATTGTGATGTCCTTGTTCAACCACCAATGCAGATTGTCTGTAAAAGAAGGAGGATGGGTAATTAGGAAGTCCAAGGAATCAAGAGCAAGATTCCATTGGCCATGCAGAATCCACTGAAGAGAATGCATATGTGCCTGACCCAAAGGAATAAGGGCTTCTATAGAAGCCCAAGTCCCCAAAAGTGACAGAACCTTATTGTGCAGAAACAGAGGTGGAGTAAGTGTATGGAAAACTGAAACTCTGTAGAAAGAAACAAAGTGGAGAAGGTTGGGCCAGAATGAGATGGGTGTTGAAAAATACACTCAAGTGGATAAGATATTGAGTAGGAAAAAGGAAAGACTACTTCAACTTGAGAATCCAACCAACATGAGCTGCTTCTATCCACAGCAGATGTGTGTGTGTGTTGAGAAGACTCCAGCTTGGAATGAGCTAACAGGAGTCAGTCATCCATGTAGTGATGTAAATGCAACCCTCAAGCATGCATAAATCAGGCAAAGGCCTTGATCATCTGATAAAATACATATGGTGCTGAATCAATCACAAAACTGATAAACAACCCTACAGTGGACAAACCAAAAATGGTGCCTGAACTGATGAGAAATAGGAATGTGGAAACAGGCATTCAAGACATCTACCACGGTCATCCACAGTCAAGGAGAAAAAGCCCACCCGAGTGTGATAAAGGACTCCATGGTAAATCGGGGAAGATCCAGAAATTGGTTGAGGCAGAACAGATGGATCACAGGACTTCAGTTTCCTGATCTGTTTTAGGGATGACAAAAAAATCTGGAGAAGGCTGGCTGACAGGCTCAATAGCTCTCTGTGACAGAAGGGTTTGCACAGCTTGGACAGAAACAGACTGATAGCGAGATCCCGAGTTAATGGGAAGGAAATCGGTACCGGAGACAATGGTGGTGGGGAAATGAAATGGATGAAAGTCCTTCTGACAAGACTTGGATCACCTAAGAATCGGCAGTGAATACTCACTGCAGAGGAACAAAATAGGCCAAACGTGCTCCCAATGCACAGAAAAACACCTGATAGTCACTGGAACTGCTGGTGATGATGAACCCAATGCCAAGACACACAGCAAAATTTGAATCCCTAGTGCTAGGAACTAGTAAAGGACAGAAGGTTGCAGGATAAGAAACAATTATGGGAGAAATCATGAGAGTAGAATGAGACAAATGATCAATCAAAGACTAAAGGGTCGAATGTGGTCTCACAAATTCTACAGTGATTCCAAAGACTCAGGAAAATCTCCAGACTGATGAAGAAAAGGAGCCATCAGTAAGTCATGAAGATAAGTGGAAGGAAGATGAACCTGTGACAAGACAGCATCCTTCCCAATAAGATCCCAACAGCAACAAAACCATGAGTGAAGGGATAGGATTGAAGAGGACAAATGCCAACATGGAGGTAAAGAGGGAAAAGTATCACTCCAAAAAACCCTCAAGGAGTGCCTCAGAAAGGAGGTGTATGTTGGACAAGTACTGTAAGAGAGCTGTAAGGGTAATACAAAAGTGGGAACTGGGCATGGGAGAAATGGATAGGATTTTCAGGGAAAGCCCCCACATAGGCAAATGTGACTCCAACTGCTGGGAGTCAAGAAGGGGTTGATCAGCCTGCTGATAAGCAAAAGCATAATGATTAGAAGCCCATGGACAATGAGGCATGCTAACAACAGACCTCAACTGAGAAACGAAATGCTCAGCAAGAACACTGATGTCAGGGGAAGGAGTGAAAACAAGGTACTCTAAGGATAGGCGTCATGTAACAAGGAACAGTATCATACAAAATCAGTGAAAATGAGTAAACTGAACACACCTGAAAAAGCATATCCAAAAAGGCAGAGTTAGGCTTAATAGGTTCCATAGGGGAGGCATGGGAAGGCAGGGCATAATTAAGAGGAGGAAAAGACTGTCAAAATCCTCCTATTCACGAACAGGTTTGGATGATGCAAAAGGAACACAAACATTTTCAGGAGAAGAAGTACGATTCATATAACAATCCATCTCCTGACGAATGATAGCCAAAAAATCCTCCGTCAAAACCCCCAGACCTGAAGCCTGTGTAATGGCACTCAAAATAGTGGTTAAAATATCAGAAGTTGTAAAACACAAACTTTGAAATTCATCTTAAACTATGAAGAAGTGGAAAATGAAAAAAAATATATCCATAAACAAAGGTAAATTGTTGTGGCCAATTACAACAGAAAACTAACTGTAGTAAATGAATAAATCAAGTAAAAACTACTTCACAAAAAAATAAAATAAATGCACAAGTGAATAGAGCATAATTGAAAAATATCTGCACTCAGTCACTGCCTAACAAGAAGTTATAGTTCAGCAGAATCAAATAAAGGGAGTCACATGCATCAGAGGGTGTGTCGCACTCCTATTGGTGGAGGATTGTCGCCTGATGATTTACATGTAAAATGCAGTTGACCATGTTGATCATAGGGCACATGGGAGTTCAAGGCTTGTGGCATGTGAAAAACTTTTGCATATTGAGGACAGCACTGAACAAGAATAGCTATACATATGAGCGGAGGTAATGTACTGTATCAGAATTTCTGTTACCAAAATGTATTGTTTTAACACTTTTCATTGCTGAAAACTCATTTTCTACATCTTTGCCAACTCATTAAGTTTCTAGGTTGTTCTGTATAAAGAAATATTCTATATTAATCAAGTTGTGATTAATCTCAGCATCATCAGCAAATTTAGAAAGCTTGCTGCCTAGGCTATTGACATAAATATCAAACAATGAAAGTCTTGAAACAGATAACCAAGAAAACTCACTATTCCCATTCTTTTAAATAGAAAAATATTCATTTATTAATTCCCTGTTCTTTCTACAATCAAGTTTAAAATTCTCTAATCACTAAACATTTTCCATCAATTCATTAAGAACTTAACATTCTAATCAAACGTTTTTTGTTTTTTTTTAAATCAAGATAAGAAATATCAGTTGACTTGTTCTCATAAAAGAAAACTTCTTTAAAATACCAAGATAAAAACTCAGATAAGTTTGGGAGTTAAAATAACCCATAATGAAATAATATTGGAATGTTTTACTAAATGCAAGTTTTCAAAATATTTTTTTGAATAATTTCTGTGAACAGGTTCCTACACTTTTCTAATAACAGAAATCAGACTAATAGGCTTTTAATATTTCGGCTCCTACCTAGACCCTTTCCTTTTTTGAAATAGGGATTACATTATTAATGGTTAAATCTCCCATGAACTCATTACTTAGCTTATTCAAAGTTTTATAATATGTTTCTTAGAGGCAGGAGATATACTCTCAAGTAATGTCCCAAGATTCTGATGCAACACTCTCTTAAAAAATAACACAACATAAGGAAAACTCTACAATTTTAAACAAACTAGTCAAACAGGGTATCTTTTTCAGTCAAATCAATGGTACAAAAGTCACACTTTAGTCAGATTCCTTTCCGTAACATTGTGGCATGCATTTGGATTAATTTAAAAAATAGTTTTAATGACTTCAGTTTTATTTTGTCTTTTTTTTTTTGATAAACCTTAACATCCTCCTTTTTACCACATTTCAATTTTTTTAAAGCTTATCATTTTTTTCATTTATTAATATTTTATTTGCCTTTCAGGAATGGGCTTTTAAATTCATTAAAACATTCTGAAAGAAAAACAGTGCCTTTTAGCTTGATTCAACCTGTAAGAATTTTCCAAGCTCCATTTACCCTTTTCCTATTTAGAGCTTAATCTTTCTCTTTCATGATATCCTACATATCAGCTTTACAGTAATTGGCTGTAATAAAAGAAAATTAAAGATAATATTATAATAATGATATGATCATTAGAGCTCAAGTGCTCTTGCACAAATAAGTTTTAGCTTTTTAGCACACAGACTAAATTCTAAAATTCCTCTGATATTCTGAAAGAATACCCCCCTCCCCCAACTAACCTGAAGAAACCAGCTGTGTAAAATTTGATATCGAAATCACATATCAGGATTGAAAAACAGGTGAGTAGTCAATTATCTTGGTAATAAATATTGACTTAATGAATTGCAAATAGTCGTTTTTTTATATGTATAAAATTAGCATATAATTTGTTTAATTTTTCAGTTCTACTAACCAAAGCAAATATGTAATAAACACTACATTATATAAAATTTCTAAATATCTCACCTGTAAGAGAGACCTTGAGTGGCTCTAAAGATGCTCTTCCAAAGAAATCAATTGTCATATTGAAGTCAGAACTTGCAATCATTAACGTAAATCAGTGCTGGAAGAAAAAAATTAGTATGTAATAGATTATATTAATTCAGAACATATGTAGACAGATATAACTAATATTTTAATCAAAAATATAACTATTCTACTTTTTGATTTATAATTTTTTTCATAACCCATTTCATTACTAATATCAGATCCTTTCTAATAATTACAACCAAAAGAAACAAATCTATGGATCACAAATATATATATAACAGGAGTAACCTCTGAAGTCATGAAAATGGTTGAAGAAATTAGTGAAGGAGAAGAAAAAATAGAATAGTCAGATATTCCAGTGTTTTATGATTCTAGTGAAATTTGACCATTATTCTTGTAATGCAACCACGGCCACAATGGTAGAACTCAATTTTGCAGTAATGAGATGTGCCCCACGAACCTTCAGATTCACAGTCTGGCACACTAATCACTTAGCCACAACTAGCCCATTATAATACTTTAGAAAATTAATTTATGTCATTCAATTTCATAACCTTTAAAATATGAAGTTATGAGATTCATGAGATAATTTAATTGTCTGAAACATTAAGTGTTATAGTGTGCTGGGTGTGGCTTAGATTTTATAAGCAAGAGGTATGTAAAATATTTATATTTTTAAATGTCATTAACATTTCAAGGCACATGCAATGTTGAACTACTGTTAAAAAATCAGATATGCTAAGCTCAAGATAAGAAACAAAAAACATGAAAAAAAGCAAGTAAATATCCTGATATCTCCTACAAGCCTCTCAATTTATATAGACATAAAATATGTCATTAAACTTTCTGTTCTCAATTTGATTTAACTGAGCAATAAAGAACATGCTAACCACACACCACTTTTTTCAATAAACTATTCTACAAACTGAAAACCTAATGATGAAATGACTTGGCCTGAGGAAATTTGTGCATCTAGGCTTCTAAAGTTTCCAATGATACCCTTTACCATTCAAGTTACCTTTCCAGATATCATACAAAATTGCCTACAAACAGATTATCCACTTCCATCACAATTTGAACATCTCTGTAATTTTTTTATATTTCATACATTTCAGAGAGAAGAATTTCCAGAAGATATTATTAGCAATAACTTCTGTTATTAACATTAGAAATTCTTATTATGGTACCTGGTTTTCAATAAATTATTTTTTTTAATAGTAAGGGAAAACCAAACTGAATGCATTATTCTCAAAGAAGCCTAACAAGAATTTTATATAAAGCATGAATATTATATTCAGTCTCAAAATCAATTTTTTCCTTACCCAAAAATGTGTTTCTGATAAATATTCCCCTCTCCCTGAACAAATAGCTAATATTTCATACCACCGCAAGAAATTTTTATGCATATACCAAACCTTTGACAAATCTTCACACCTTACACATGATAGTATGAACTGTACTAGTCTATAATACAATCAGTATTATACTATACCCCTCCACCAACAGTAAAATGACACATTCTCCTTGTGGAGTACTACCTTCGGGAACTTTGTGTAAGCCAAAAGTTTATTCTTAATAAGGCAAAATACACACACACCAGAAATGGAGAGGTATGTTGGGTGATGCTGTGAGAGGTAAGTGTCTATCTGAAATACATTTCAGGTAAGGAAAATGTCAATATCAGAACAGGCTATTCACCTCTCCACAGAACAGACAGCTAGAAACCAACAATGAGATAGTGTAGAGAAAAGTACAGAAAAAAGAAATTAAAAAGAAAAGATAAGCTTCATTCTGAAAATATAGCAACAAAGTGAAAACTTGAATGTCTCCCCCACTAGGGAAGGGGAGGTACTAATGGGAGTATGTTTCAGTGAGCAGGGAATATTCTTCACACAATACAAGAAGTTATTGAGAAAAGTTATATCAAAAGAACTTTCATTAAATTTCAGTCACTAATCTGCTGTCATCTTCAGGAAAGTCCTAAGGATTATTTCCATGTTGGTAATGATTAAGATTCAATCCTGGGTCCCTTGATGAAAGTCTAGTATATTATACACTCAACTGTGGTCTCCCAATCATTATTTTATTTCATTCTAATTATTCACAACATTTACTTCTGAAAATATTTTACAAGTGCTATTTCTTCCTTATTGATAATTCTTTTGCACAAGTTTTCCTTCATACATGATGTTTATTTTAACATGATTTGATATAGATAGTTACGTGTAACTTATACTTTGTCAAATACAACGTTTATTACAAATAATTATCAGATTATGTTGACATGTTTTTAAAAAAATAGAAAAAGTCATACATATTTCAACACTTACATTTCTATGTACTGAAATATATAAATAACAAAAAATATTTTGCTCAGCACTTCACTTATATTTCAGTTGTGTACACATGCAAATATACTTACTGGCATTATCCAAATAATTTTCACAAAAAAATTTGTTCCTTTCAGATGTTTATGCTAGATCTGCCTGAGAAAAAATCTCAAAAGTGAAATAATGTTCCCATGAATTATTGACCATAAAACAGAATTTGGCACTTATTCAGATGAACTTCTAAACGTTCATCTTCAGAACAAAGCAAACAGTAATCCTGTAAAGAAAAGAAACAAAAAAATATTTGAAAATGCTTATTAGTTACCACATTACACTTGTTATTACAAGAGTGGTATTTATTTACTATACAAGCCAACCTATTGTACTTCTGAATGAGAATAATACAATTGTTTTTGTGAATTCTAATGTTTGTATTCATACACAGCATGAACAATTGCTAGGTGTACTTCAAATGAATGATAAAAGTAGGCTTAATTCTTAAGACTAAATATACAAAAACAAATCTTATCCTAGAACTTACATCTAAAGACCTTTAAATATCCAAAGAATACACTTTCTGCAAAATTGATGACAAACAGTTTCTAACTAAGAATACATTTGTTTAAAAAAAAGGTATAAAGGTACTAAATCAAAAGCACACATACATCCAACAATAAGTAACAGTGGCTGTGCTATGAATTATCAATTTCTATATGAAAACACAACAGGTTCAAAGTTCAACAGATAAAACACTACTTGATGGTAAATACGCACTAAATTATATCAGATGTTGGTTATCAAATGAAGTGTACAAGACTTTTTTGATAACTATGAGTATGCAAATGGAATGAATTGCAATACTGGTATGGTATTTTTGTTCACATAAACTTTTTTTATGTGACTTATTTGTTAACAGGGACTTTGTAACTAAGTCATAGGCTCACAATCTTTTGCATGAACAGTTTGAAAAAATCTTTAAAATTTGATGGGTATATGGATCCCATCATTAGTTCCGAGGTTAGCAGTAAGCTCCTACAGACAAATTCTGAAGTTAGCAATAAACTATTTAGTAGCAATGTCTATATATACTTGTCTATAAATTTATTTATTGTACCAATTATACAAGTCATATTATGATAAATTATTTTTCTAGGTTTCAATACTATTGTGAAACTAATGATACATGATTTCATTCCTTGTTTTGATTTTCAAAATATTAATCAATAGCTTATATCTTGAAGTAAAGTAACAGACTACAACTAATACACATATAGTATGAATCTCCTTTAATTTTTAAAAATTCGATGTAAATTTCTATTTGAAATTATACCTATATTCAATCATGAATTTAACGCCGAGTTATGTTTACACTGAATGGCAAATGTTAATGTCTAATTCAATTTGTCTTTATTTCGTTCGTCTGTTTGCAAGTACTTCAGCTGTCTTTTCACAATTGATTGATTAAAAATACCTCTCAGTGAAATGATACTCTAATTTCGGAATCTGATGTATTAGGTAACGATGTTATAAAATTAAATGACATTATGACCAGTTTTCATATGTATTTTTTTCTTGATTATATATTATAATTATACACGACTTAGTACTAAAAATAACAAAAACCACGTTATTAACTCTTACAACTATATATATATATTAGTATTTTTTCACTCAATATTAGTTCCAAATAAACTTACAATTACACAGATTTCAGAAAAAAATTGACAGCTTCACTACGTCAACAGCGATGTTCGTGCACACCGGGAAGTAATTGTAATTAAACGTTTCAATACTCTTACACTTTTACAGTATTTGTATCATTTATTCTCCTTTTCAAAAGCATACCTACGCTTCTTATAAAACAGACAAAATGAGTGATACGTCATGATTCTACTAATTTATAGTCTGATTATACGATCCTAGTAAAACTTAAGTGTATATGTTTTTTGAAAGTCACTGCTACTTAAGTTCTACTAATACATTAGTCTGCCGGCATAATTTCCCTCCAAGTGGTACCAATGTTTGTTTCGCATTATGAAATACCCTCCGTCTTCTAGCGTTGAAATTCAGGGTAAACAAAATACGCCCGTATTTTAAAGCTCACGAACTTTCAACTATTAAAAACTTTTTTTTTCCAATTTCACAGAGCATTTCTCCACTAGAACCTTTGCTAGGTATTTTATCATTAATAACTGTAAATTTATTTCATGCAATCGCTGGTATAACACAAGAAAACATATTTCTCCCCTTTTTTAAAATTAATTCGTACGTTCTTACGACAAAACAAGCTAACACCTTTTTGTTAAACTCGCGCTTCTTGATTTGGTGAAAAAACTATCTCGTGATTTTCGCGACGTAAGGGATGCAAATAATAGATTTAATTTAAACTAAAGCCACAGATAGAATGGGTCTGTATAGAGGTATGTTAACGAACGCCCCCGGTGTCTCAACTTTAAGACTACGGACTTGTAACACTAAAAACGTATTTCGATAACATTGGTGAGCAAAACACAGCTGAAACATTGTGTAGTTTGCGCTTAACTACAAACAATTTACGAACATACTGAAAAAAAAAAAAACATTACTAATGGTAATTTTCAAAAATAACCTTCATCGTCATTTGTTCAAAACTATATTTCCCCTAGTTTTACCAAAATTCGCAGGAATGTTAACAGGATATCCAGTTCAGTACTATTACTATGCTATTACTGACTGTATATTTTATATTGTTAGGATTTGGTCAAAAAAGTAAACTAAAGTTATAATACAGTGAGCCAAAACAAAAGTACCGAGTAAAAGTCACGCTGAGTTACGTCTAAAGAACGGAACATTATTGAATAAAAACTTTGCCATATGATTGTTTGTTTTATTTTGAATTTCACGCAAAGTTACACGAGGGCTATCTGCGCTAGCCGTCCGTAATTTAGCAGTGAAAGACTAGAGGGAATGCAGCTAGTCATCACCACCCACCGCCAACTCTTGGGTTACTCTTTTACCAACGAATAGTGGGATTGACCGTCACATTATAACGCCCCCACGGCTGAAAGGGCGAGCATGTTTGATGTGACAGAGATTCGAACCCGCGACCCTCAGATTGCAAGTCGAGTGCCTTAACTACCTCGCCATGTTGGCATATGATACATTAGAATACACTTTAAAATCATATCAAACGAAATGCAGTTAGATCTAACATATACATTTCAGCTCAACTCCAATGCTTGTATAAGTTTCTTGTCATATTGGAGACTGTAACTTAGATATAAAGGGCACAGCGAAACAGTAGAAATAGTGGTGTATCGAACTTTGAAATTGTCTTAAATCCCTTATCAGCTAAAGATAAGGAAAACATTACTATTCACGGAGATGATTTTGGGAAATTAATATACTTTAAAGTCGAAAGAAATCTTCAAGCGTCACTTTTAAATACTGTCAAATCATATTTTAGAAGAACTTTGCCATCAAATATAATAATATCTTCTTTTATGAGAATCACTTAATTTTTCCGTTATTTACTGTAATATCCTTTCTAGTAAAACGTTAGCTTCGTAGTTACTAAAGAACATCAATAAAATGGACCTACAATATTATTGACTAT